AGTCTGTGTTTAAATTAACATAAGGGCATATTAGCTTGTAGGATTTGCTTAGGGGAAGAAAAAAAAAAAAAGTTTAGATTTGACTCTCAGGTCTTAAGCGTTTCTAGTCTAATTGTAGTTAGTGCAGTTTTACATTCTTGGAGAGTAAGTATGATTGGCACAGAAAGCTGTTTTTTATTGTAAATGTTTAAAATGCTTTGTGGTGTTAAATGTATCTTTTTAAATTTTGGAATAGATATGGTTCCTAAACAGATAATATTTTATTTCTTTTTCTTTAAAATGTCAGCAGCATGTAAATAAAGTATGCTTTTTGGATGTAAATCTTAGAAATCCACAGTGAATGTAGGTTATTAATAAATAATTTAAATCTTGATGTTCAATATTATGTACATACAGTAAAACTGCTTGGGTTCTTTTTTTTGCTCAAAGCCATAGGAATGTAACTGAAATTACCTAGATTTGAATGGACCTTCTAGTACAGTGTATTTTATTGTAAAGTTTAATGTCCATATTCCAGTAAAACTAATAATTTGATACTAAAACCTTGAATCATTGATTCTCAATTAGTGATTTAGGAGATCAAACTTAGGGTTGAGGAGGTAGCTAAAAGTCAGGTTGGATGATAATAATTTTTTTTTCTGTTTATTAAATAGCAGTGTGGAATTGGTGGAATATACCTCGAATGAGCCTTTTTCAAATTTATTATTTCAGCTATTTCATGGCAGCAGTTAGGAAAGCATGGAGTCCATTTACAGGGTGCATTGTTCAGGATTAATACAGTTGCCAGCTGAATATTCTTTTAAGACTTGAGGCTTTTGAGGGACTAGGGAAGTGCATGCCTGACCTTGAAAATCATGGTTCTAATTCAGCCTTTGTACCAATTGTTTTCTCATGTAAAATGTATTAATTTAAGATAGTGGATTTTTTTTTTATCTTGTTTAGTTACTTTACATCTGTTGTTGGTTATTTACATCCTACACTTTGTCTCTATTTTCTACTTTCTTCTGTGACTTCAAAAAATGAAATAAAATTTCACAATTACCACTACGTAGAACAATGTTTAATATCTTTTGTATTTTCTTCCCAGCTCCCTTGCTGTAGTCTCTTGAAATTCAGGACTTGTGAAACCATTGCTGTTAAATCCAGTTAGGAATAGAAGCAGTGAACATTCAGTTGAATTGGCAGTGATTTAAACATATCTTCTAGTTAATGGGGAATGTGTTAATGAACAATTAAAACTACAAGGAATTAGCTCTCCCAAAAGAAGCTGAACATACGGATTCACCCTTGTCTGCCATCAAATTGTGTCCATTTTCTTTTTGCTCTAGTGATGCCACATAAAAATTTCAGTGTTCTGACTTAGAGCATTCTCTCTCCAGAAGGAGCAGTCATACAAATAATGAAGATGTGATCAGGTGGAACAGTTGCTTTCTTGAAAGTTGAAGATAATGGAAGTTTGTTAGTCTGTGTATCAGGAGCTAAAAGTGAATTTAGAAAAATCTTTCTGACCAGCTGGCTTCCTCATATCCTTACACTATATATGAATATTCCCTTCCTTTGCCCTTTTCCTTAAAGATATTGGAGCAAAATTCTGATCAGGTTAAAAATAATTGTATTGAAATAAAGCTGATTGCTTGTTTCTACATTGATTGCTTACCTTCCTAAACTGCTCTCTATGTAAGGAGGAAGCACAGCACACAGGTGGAGACCAAATTGTCAAATTCAAACAATGTAAATTCTGATTTGAATCTAGAAAACTCACCTGTAGTTGGTTTCTGCCTTTGTTCCATTTTCTGTTTGGTTGGTTTATTTTTGAAAACACAAATGTAGGTTTTAAGTGTGATGCTATTAGAGTTGTAAATGCATCTGAACCAAAACTGTACACTGAACAGAAAAGGCAGAAACAATATTCAAAATATGGAACAGTATCTGGTACTGCTGGATGGGCCACAGTATTTTTATGCCTTATTGTGTTGTTATGTCATGAAAATGTCTGTAACTTCCCATTTTAATGTCACTAAGTCGTGTTTTTCGTTTGGTCATTTGGCTTTTTAAAAATTCATCATTCAATACATATAATAGTTGTAAGTAAAAATTCCTTTTCTTCAGGTGTTCATATCATTCCCATCTCCAGTTGCAGGTAAGAATAAATGTTTTTGGTTTGAAGACATCAAACACCCAAACTGTTCCTCCCAGCAAGTCTTTTGCAAAAGAACATTAATATTTCTTTCACAAGAAGGTAATGCTGTAGTGACATCACAATGCTGCAAGTTCTTGGTTCATCTTTTTATGAGCAAGACATGCATTATTTTATGTACTAGAATTCCCTCAGTGATATCTGTGGTTTACCTCACACTTGTGCTTCTGTGTATGATGAAACAGTAAGAATGCAGGCAAGGTTCCATGCTGGTTGGAAAAATCTGTCCAACCACTGAGTGTCTGAAGTGGGATTTATTCTAAGTGCCAGAGGGTAAGAGGTGCTTCCAAACACTCTCCTGTCTGACCTGCTCACAAAAGAGAGGCAAAGAAAAATGTTCTCTGTCGATTTCCTCTATTGTGGAGCAAGGCAAAATAGCATCTGGATTTTTTTGCCTGTGTCTGGTCCTCAAGGCTCAGGTCTAACCTGCTCCTTGCACATTTTGATTCCAGTTCAGGACAATTAGGAAGGAATCTTCTCCTAAGGGCACCTGAGCCCGAACTGCCGAGTGAGACTGCACCAAAAAACCCTGGGCAGCTGATTAATTACTATGGGAGCTGTTTGTCCCATGTGCAGTGGATGTGAAGGAACAGGGCTGAGGATTCAGATCTGCCTCTAACATCAGCATTCCCTACCTATGCAGAGATGTTCTTTACAACTTTATTATTCTCTTAAAACTCTTCAGTTATTCAAATACAAATTCTGAGGTATGTGCAAGACGAGTTACAGAAATTTGGGCTTTTCATGAAAGATGTTTCTGAAAGGTACTGGAATTTTGTAAACAGGATTTTTAAGGTTGTCTATTCAGGGGTCAAAGTGTGTACTGAGAGCCTCAAGGCTTAGTCTGGAAGTGTGACTTTTGGGAACATGACACATAATCATAGAACATACTGAGTTGGAAGGGACCCATCAGGATCATCAAGCTCAACTCCTGGCCCCGCACAAGATGCCCCAAGAATCACTCTGTGCCTGAGAGCATTGTCCAAAAACTTCTTGAGCTCTGTCAGGTTTGCTGCTTCCCTGGGGAGCCTGTTCCCGTGCCTAGCCACCTCTGGGTGAAAAAACTTTTTCTAATACCCAACCTAAACCTGCTCTAATACAACTTCAGGCCATCCCCTTGGGTCCTGGCACTGGTCACCAGAGAGAAGAGATCTGTATCTGCCTCTCCTCTTTCCCTCAGGAGAAAATTGCAAACTGCAGTGAGGTCTCTCCTCAGTCCCCTCCTTTGGGCACTCTCTGACAGCTTGATGTCATTTTTATATTGTGGCACCCAGAGCTGCCCCAGCTCAGAGCAGAGCAGGACAATCCCTGCCTTGCCTGGCTGGCCATGCTGGGCCTGATGTCCCCAGGACAGGCTTGGCCCTCCTGGCTGCTGACTCAGATTTCAGTTCCATTCATGGCTTGGTGGATTGGCAAGGCAGCTGGAAGGTTGGGTTGCATTAAGTGCAAGTGGCACCACATCTGTGATGGAATGCCACAGCACACAGTTCTTCATTTTGGAACAGCCTGATTGATGGTACAGCTGAA